GAAGTTAAGACACAAAATGTTTTTTTCAGCTGTGGGTGTGTTACACAAACATCAGGCACCCACTAGAACATTGGTTTTTGTTATTTTTAACATTAACTAATTTTTCAGATTAATGTTTTTTGTCTTTACCTTGGCGTTTGACTGCAGACTCAGGAGTTCCTGAGCTTTGGCACAGTACATTGTGTGTGTGAGACACAGTGAAAGAGATGCCATGTTTCCATCCAAATGTCAAATGAATTAGAGGGGAACTTTTCAAATGTAATCAAATATAAAATATGAATCAAATATGCTTCCATAAAGCAAGCAAATAAACTGGCTTCCTGAATGTAGATCCACTTCGTGTCAGAAAAGAAAATGGAATGTTTCTCTCTCTTTCACCTGAAGTCAAGCACAAAAAAATACATCTAGCTAATTACATAAAAAAACCAACATGATATTTCACAGAATGAAGCTGCTCATTGAGATTGAACAACCTTAACTGTCTTTACTGATTCAAAAAAATGTTTCAAAGACAAAAAGTTTTTCCATTGCAAGCAATTGTTTTAACTTACAGCATAAGCCACTATTTGTGGAAGTGGGAGGAGTTGTTTATACAAAATGTCAAGGTTAAAGTTAAATGAATAGTTTGAGATTTTGAGGAATACACTTATTCGCTTAGTCTCTGGGCATAATGACTTTCTGGAGCCTTGTCATCACCATGAGATTGCCAGCCAACCAGGAAATCTCCAGGAAGTCACTGTTCTAGCTTGTGACTTCCTGTAAAACCACAACTTGTAGTTTACATTTTTGTTTGCATATGGATTAAACAACCAAAATATATTGTGTTAATTAGTGAGCTTTAGAGGTGCAGGTGGGTAGATTTTATTTGACTTTGGCTAGCTGTTTCCCATTGCTTTATGCTAAGCTAACTGCCTGCTGGCTCTAGCTACATATTGAGCATACAAGTTAAGATAAGTAAAAGTGGTGTCCATAACAAAAGTCTTTTTACCTATAGTACCTAAATCTACATCCAGTAGACTGCTCTGTGTCTATGTTGAGAAACATAGAGGATGTCCTTAAAAGAATACTTTGAAATGGGAATATATATTACTGTGCTCTATTAAGGACATTTTATTAAAGTTCATTCCATGAGAAACCTTTGAACACATGGAAAAAGAGAAGTAAAATGCAGAAATGCAGAAAGTGGGATAAAACATAGACTCAGTCTTAGGGGAAGCCTGTGGTACACTGTGTTGTTCTTGGCAGTGGCTATTTGGGAGTGTTGATGCTTGTCTGCCACTCTCGGACACACACACACACACACACACACACACACACACACACACACACACACACACACACTGTGGCTCGTGTAAAACACCCAAAACACTGTCTGTTGGCAGGTTGACGTAGGGATAGGTGATAAAAGTGTGTTTACCCTAAACACTCGCCAACTCACTGGCTGTCTCTGCGCTGATTTACTACAACTCTCTCTCTTTATCCAACTCTCATCTCCTTCACCTTCCTTCTGTATCTCCTTCGCTTAATTTTATTGCTCAATCATCCCTTCTCTCTGTCTCTCCTTCACGTCTTTCTCTGCTGGTGTTGAAACCGTCTGGTTTACAACCAGTTAGAAACATCCAATAATTCTAGTGTTGGTTTAGTTTTTCTGTTGACAAAGTGGGTGATTGATAAGCTACTTTTGCTGTCAACAGTTTAAAATAGAAATAAAACACTTTTATCATCAGTATTTATACTGTATATATCAATAGGACCTAAATAAAGTTTTTCAAGGGCTTTCTCATTTTCTCCTTAACTTTTTTAGTTCTCCTCTTTCCACTAATCTAATTTTCTTTATTTTTTCTTGTTTACCTACTTCCTCATTTTTCTGATATCTCTGTCACATCCTTCCATTCAAGCTCATAAAACCCGCAGTGATTGCAGAAGATAAAACATGCATCTTTATTATCTTGTTTCTCAACTCACCTTCCCTATTGAAGTCTGTCCTTCTTCCCTCCTCTCCTATGTCCCTCTCTCTTTTTTCTTTTCATCTTTCCTTACTTCCTTCCTCACCCTATTCTTCCTCCCTCTCCCCCCTCTTCTTTAAAGCATCCATCTTCTGCATTTCTCCTCCACTTGATAAAGGAGTCGGTGTTCGGACAGCGAGGAATTTTTATCCACCCTCCAATCTAAACAGCACTTGATCCCAGGCTCGGTCACGGGGACAGATAGAGAGCCATCTAGGGTAAAACATATCCCTCTCATCCTCTCTCATCCCTCTCTTCCTCTTCTCCTCCCCACTTACACCTCGGCCCTCCAATCCCCCACTGTCTTCGTGTCAGATCTGTTTATCGGTATGGGGGGTATAAATTGTGCATCAGAGTACACACATGGTTGACTTATGCAGATTTATCTTGGAGTTACAGGTTGTATTTTCCTCTCTAAGTGCTCCCATAAATTGTGCTCCCTAATTCTGTTTTATACGAGGCCAGCTGAACGAGTGCACATCGGCGTCTTTAGGTCTTGTGATGAGAAAAAAAACCTCTCATCCTGACCCCATCTTCGAGCTTTCCATCTTTACTGGCTGTAAATATCACCCATTGAACTGAATGTACACAAATACATGTCCAGTGGAGCCACTTGTCCAATAAATTTATGAAAAATTGTTTTACAGCAATGTGGACCATCTGTCTGGGAATAACGGCTGTTTTTCCCCAAATATGGGAAATTGTCATCATATATTTCTATAGTTTTTAAGTTGTTTCTTTGTTGTGTAACCCTTTCTCGTTGTCCCCTCTTTGTTAACATTGATCCCATGTGATCTGGACGGCTGCATTAGCTTATTTACAACAATCATAATCCGACTGTAAACATACAGGGCTTTAATGGACTCAATGAGGAAGTTGTGCTCACCCGGCGGCCGGCATGTCTTGACCACACAATGGGCCAATACGCACAAACTAAACATTAAGCCATTCACAATAGGCCATGTGCCCTTATGAATGCCTATAGCGCCTTTTGTCAGGATAAAGGCACCACAAATGAGCTATTGTCTGACTTAACCATTCTAAATCAGGCAATCCCTCAGGGTCATGTTTTCCACACAGCACCCAAGAATGTCTCTTTTTTGCGTGTGTGTGTGTGTGTGTTTTTTAAGTCCTTGACTTGACTGAGGCTTCGGCATGGGGGCATGCGTGACCGTGACACCATCTGTGGGGTGTCCACTGGCACGAAAACCATAGTATACACACAAACTCGGGGAGTTAAGTGTGAGTGTAAGTGTGTGAACATGTACATTATGTACGTACAAGGGAGCAATTTCACACGCAGACACACTCCCACAGGTACTGAACACCTGAAAGTGGCGGAATAAGCATTTAGATTTAAGTCCTGGTTAAAGTGTGCTTTAGTACAGGAATGGCTACTTCTACCACCATGAAAATGATACAATAAAAATGTGATATCATATAAATATTAAGGGTCAAAAAAGCACACAGTATTAGAAAAAAATTGTGGTACTCATTACACAGCAGAATGGAGTGTTAGAGAGTGTTAGTTTTTACATGATTGTTATTACTGACATATAAATTTAAGCAGAATTGTAATGTAACTGGTTGTGATGAAGCTGATTTTATCCACTGTATAAAACAGGGGGGTAGTCAAATACCAACATTTTGTCATGCCCCTCTGTGTCACATGTAAGGTACCCTTTAGCATCTACGAGTCACACACCTTTATGACACCCCACAAACACAAGACTTTAAGCCATGTGACTTACACATCGCTTACATCACATTGTGTATTTATTTTGACCCAAACTGTGATCTTATCCTAAACCTAAAGTAGTTTTGTGTCCTAAACTTAATCATGTAGTTGTAGTGCATATATCTAATTAAGCTGGACCATTTCACAACATTAACCACGTGTTAAAATGCCATCTTATACAGAAACTAAAGAGAATGCTACCCTGTGCTTGACAAAGCAGTGCTGGTATTTGCCTTGTATGAGACAGAGAGGAGCATCAGTATTTGACGACCTGGGAATGAGAAAGGGTTGTTTCATCAAAAACAATGGATCATTTTATATACTAATATGTTTTTGATGTAAAATCGTAATTTTCAAAGTAATTGGTAACAATGAATCATTTAAAATTGAGTGTGTATGTAGCATAAAATGGAAAAAGCCAGTAAAGTACCAGTGCCTTAAAACTATACATGAGTAAATATATATTCCACCACTGATACCTGACAACATTGCATTTCTGTGTTTCTTTTATGGACCCAAGTCACACCCAAACACTCATGCTTGCACATGTGCAGATACGTGTCTCTCTGTTTGTCTCTCTGCTCTCCGCCTGGTGAAGAATTGAAAAGTTCCCATTGTTTAAGTACAGTTCACAGCAGGACTCCTAATGAACAAATGAGACCTTATGTATCTTATGAGACCACGTGTCTCTGATTTCTGTTATCCTGAGGCTATGATTGTGAGAAAGAGGACAACCACAAATAAGACCTCATCTCAGAACAATGCAGACATTCTCATTTGGTCAGCTGGATGGTTGCTACATTTTTTTTAGGAAAAGAAGGAGGGGGAAATTGTTCCTTTTTAGAAATTTATAGGAATGGGTTCTTTTCTCTCTTGTCCTTTTCCCTCTGTCTCTTTTTTTTTATTTACCACATTTACCCTGCTCTTGTTTCTGGTATGTATGTCACAGTTTATGCTTGTGGGCAACAATAAATATCCTCAGGGGTCTTTTGCAAATTTACCAAACAGTTTTATTTTAACCGGTGGTACATGCCTCATTTTTGAAAATACAACCCATACATATTTGTGATATTTCGGTGTTTATAAATCCGAATAGTTGTCATCTCAAGAATGTGACAATGTGATAATTTTGTGCCTTTTCTGGTTGATGTTGAACTTCATGGACACCCATTCACTATCACATTCTTGATGGGTCTGTGTGGTGAGCTGTTAAATGGCATCAAAAGTGAAGGTGATTATTTTCTGTCTTTTTCTAGAGCCAACTTGCATGGAGAGACTCCTCTCCAAGGACTGGAAGGAGCGCGTTGACAGGCTGAACGCCAATGAACTGCTGGGGGAGGTCAAAGGTAAGAACAGTTTCCGATCAGAGAGATTCACACTCTGTGTGTCACAAACTGTGTCTACTTCACTGTGACCTTCTGCGACAGATTACACAACAAGACCTTCAGGGCATGGGTTGTAACAGGGGAAAGGGGCTTTGTTAGAAAGAAAGAAAGAAAGAAAGAAAGAAAGAAAGAAAGAAAGAAAGAAAGAAAGAAAGAAAGAAAGAAAGAAAAAGCGCAAGACAGAAAACCTTTTTCTTTTTTTTTCTTTTATAATAAGTCATTCATTTATGAATCATTAGCATCCAAGGAATCCCTACTTATTGTCTTTGCCCAAAAATGTACAGTGTTATAAAACAAGCAATCGGTATGCTCACAAAAAAAACGGTCAAATATGCTGTAATTCTCTCCTCAATGTGTATACTTTTAGCAAGGTTCTGCATAAGAAAGCGTAAATGGTTGGCAGACCTACCTGTCACCATAGAAAGAGCAGTGAAGGCCGGTTTACATAGTACAGTTTATTAATGCAACTTTGATTGAAGGGTGTGTACGAAGGGAGAGGCTGCACATGCGGCAATATATTCTTCAGCAAAAAGCATTTATGAAGCTATAAATTGCACAGATGCAAACGTATTCACAACCTCTGGTATTCAAAAGTGAAAATAGCAGCATTGTGTGCGTTTGGGGGGGGGGGGTCGTCTTAAAATCTCATTCAGCAGCTGCAGCAGGATGGACAGGTGGGGAGGGAATAAAGGCTTAATTTTTAATGAAATAAAGAAAAACTAGCAGATTTTCTGTCTTACTCTCTTCATGTCTGATTGTATATTTTCCTCGTTAAGGACAGGATGATCAAAATGTAATATTTACAAGAGGATCTAAAGTACGGTGAATGTTGTCTTACAGCGGTAGTGGATGCATGACGACATAAAATCTGAGTGAAAATTAGTTAAAACTGATCAGCTGGCTAGTAAGTGATAGAAATTAGAAAACAATATCTGTTTGATATCCCTCTTACCTTACTGCTCGGACTGGAATGTCATGTTCATGTTTTGTAACCAGACTGACTAAATTTATAACGTAGTCACGAACAGAGAAAGACACGTTCCAGTCTTGTCTTCAATGATTTGAACCCATTAACAGCTGTTAAAATAATAGATACTGGTAGAAAACACGTAACTTTGGAAAACTGATAATCTTCATAGAGCAGTCGAGCTCTCAGTGAGAGAAACCGTTTGTGATCAACTCCTGTTGAAATGGCAAGCATTTCCTCTGTGGAAAGTGGGAAGAAACGGACGACAGAGCGCCTTCTACAGCAGAACAGCACCGACATTGACTTTCACTCCAGGACATAGATCTGACTCTCTCTCTCTTCTTACTGGTACTCTCCATCTGCTCACACACACACACACACACACACAGAATATTGCAAAGTATCACTGGGCATCTGTTACATACACATCTACCTGATCACTCATCAAGCGACAATCTGGATTAGTGCGCCAAATGAATACAGAAATAAAATTGAAAGACTAGTAGGCTACTATTAACTACTATTAAGGTGAAAATTCACTTCATTTTTTATTTTATGTGTATTTTATGTGTGAATATTTTATCTTTAGATCACTGCCACTGCTATGCAGTGATGTTAGATCTCTGCTTTCACTGAGAATCTTAAAATATGATATCTTATCCAGGTCAAGTGCTTGATCATATTCCTCACAGACCTTTACACCTCCACTTATCTTTTATATTTCAATGTATTTTACATTAAGACATAGATTTTAAGATGAAAAAGATTGGGTTATACTGTCAACGGAAAACGAGAAACCGCTTAAGCTCACGCTGTTGACCTCTGTCTCTCAAACACCATTATCTCTTACTACTTTTGTGTAGCAAATCTGATAAGTCAATAAGTCCTTTATCCAAAAAAGATAACATACACACTGGTACTTGCACACGTTTCCCACTCTAAATTAGAGGTACAAGGCCATTCAGTATTTGAGTTACATTTTCTTTGCAATGAGTCTGTTTATATCTTACTTTTCATCAGCTCATGAATAATAGTTTGCTACATTTTAAAGACACAGTTTGGTTCATAGCTTCTGTTATATATATATACCACTTATCATAACTTACATTTAGATTCTTTCCCCACTTAGTGAAGTCTTGTTATTTCTTCCCTCTCTGAACATTTTCTCCTCTCTGAAATCCATGTTCTTTATTGGCACTCAGATCTTCAACATAGAGAAAAAAAAAAAAACTCCCGAAAACTTAATTATGGCTCAGAGTCTGTTCTCAAGGCTGATGAAAACTAAAAGGAAAAGGCAACAAAGACAAAAGCAGCAATGACGGGGGAAAATGCATTCAAGGAGGCACTTGCTGACCTTAGGTAAGCCTCTCGGGCAGTACTTGCTTTCAAGGGCTATACAGGGAATGGCTGGCCAGAACTCCACCTATGGTCTGTATGTCTAACCTTAACTATGTACAGTGTATCTAAATAACATACCGCATTGATAAGTTTATCTGTGTGAGTCAACCCTCTCTGTCCCATTGAAATTACGTTTATATACAATTTATTTTAAAATATGTTTTGAGGAAAACATATTACCGACCATATTACGTTTTCTATCAACAAAATTAGGAAATATGGTCACCTACCTGGCAATTTGCAAAAATGTTGATAATGACCAGATCAGCAAAGTGTTCACTGACAACGTATTTATATAATGCAATATCTGCTTGTAGTGACTAAAGTATTATTAAACATTCTTACATTGATCTGACGCTTTTATCCAAAGCAACTTACAATTGCTATACATGTCAGAGGTCGAACGCCTCTGGAGCGACTAGGGGTTAAATGTCTTGCTCAGACATTGGTAGATGTCACAGTGGGGAATTGAATCCAGGTCTCTCACACCAAAAGCATGTGTCTTATCCATTGAGCCATCACTACTGGCTATACTCACCGCTGGCTATACTCACTATTTAGGCACTGGCAACACTTGGTTAAAGTTAGGGAACGATAATGGTGTAGATTGATGCAGAAAAAGTCCACAGTACACTTAAGTTTTTTATTAACAGTTAAACTGGATAAAATATTTTTCTAACACCTGCCAAAATGCTTTTGTTGCCTAAACCTAACCACAAACGGGAGTCTGGATGCAAACCTGGATCCTGGTGTCCAACTCCAGTGCAGTACATAAATGTAATGTTTCATGCACTCCAAGAAATCTGTGAACATAATGCAGGCAGTGATTACGTTTATCACTACAAAGTAAGTATGAAAACAATTTAGGAATATACAAATATTTAGTTGTACACAAGCAAAATGTATCCTTATATTCATACCTCCTAAAACCATTAATTAAACTAAGTATTTAAATTCAGCAGTGTTTACATTCATGTTTACTTGCTTGCAGTCTTCTTCTTAACTGCCTTTGCTGGCGCATTGCAGTATATCTTGGTGTGTTACCACCACCTGTTGTAGGAGTGTGTATCGCATCATGTACGGGGGACCAATTTATTGAAAAACAGCTCTACTATCAGTACATCCTGAATTTTTATCTACTCTGGTTTTAAATTATGACAGAATTGTTCTTTGTGTCGTGTTTAATATTCATGTTGATGACCCCACCAATGTTAATGCAACTGACTTTTTAAATATGGCCACTTCTTTTAACTTCAAACAACATGTCAAAGGGCAAACACATAACCGTGGTCATACAGTGGACTTGGTTTTTACCCTGGGTGTCAGCATTTCCTCGGTGGAATTAGTGGACATGACCATATCTGACCACAGATGTATTGTTTTTAGCTGCGATTCGCCTGTTACTCATGCCGCCTCACCAAGCTCCGTGTGTCTCTCGCATCTTTAATGAACAAAGTGTTTCAAAGTTTTACGCATTCTTTCAGAGCCAAAGCCAACGCCTGGCTGATTCCAACACCAACAATCTGGTCGATTACTTCAATCATATCTGCTTGTCGTCACTAAATATTACTGCTCCTCTAAAGGTTAGGCCTATGTCTAAAGCTAGTAAGCAACCCTGGATAAATGACAGCATTCGCAGCCTAAAAAGGGAATACAGGAAAGCAGAGCGCAGATGGAAAAAATCCAGTCTCCAAGTCCATTACCTCAGTCTGAAGGATTTATTAACTACAATAACATGGTTAAGGATGCGAGAACACACTATTTTTCTGAACTCATTACTACACATAAACACAATCCCAGGTTTCGGTTTAAGACTGTGGATCAGCTGGTAAACCCAACCCCTCCTTGTGCCTCAGCTAGAAGTAATGTGACTGTGAATTGTTTTTATCTTATTTTACCAATAAGGTGATGTCAATCAGAGCCTCTATTACCCCCGCGGCCTCTTACTCAGAGGTCCCCACCAGCAACAAGACAGTTTAACCAGTTTTATCCCATCGACTTGTCTGAGCTTTTAAAAACAGTATCACAAATGAGAGTGTCCTCCAGCCCACTTGATGTAATACCTACAAAGTTTTTATTGAAAGTAATGGATTCTGTTGGGCCCCATTTGATCTCTGTTTTTAATGGCTCGCTATCTACTGGTTGTGTCCCTGATTATTTTAAAATGGCTTGCGTGAACCCACTTTTAAAGAAACCTGGTTTAGATCCCTCCCTCCCACAAAATTTTAGACCAATTTCCAATGTGCCTTTTATTGCAAAGATTCTAGAAAGAATTGTGTCCAAACAGCTGCTCACTGTACTGGAAAATAACAAATTATTTGAAAAGTTTCAATCTGGTTTCAGGAAGTACCACAGCACTGAGACTGCCCTGCTTAAAGTCACCAATGACCTTTTAAAGTCTGCTGATGAAGGCATGTGCTCAGTCCTAGTACTCTTGGACCTTAGCGCTGCTTTTGACACCATTTATCACAACATCATGTTAGACAGACTGAGGCACTGGGTGGGGATCTCTGGTACTGCCCTAGAATGGTCTTCATCCTACCTGTCAAATAGGAAGTTTTGCGTGTCTGTAAACAACTATATCTCTTCGTCCAGT